TTTTTGAGTTGGAGTCTCACTCTGTCACCCAGGCTGGAGTGCAGTGGCACGCTCACGGCCTCCGCAACCTTGGCCTGCTGGACTCAGGTGATCCTTCCGCTGCAACCTTCCAAGTAGCTGGAACGACAGGTGCGCACTACTACACCTGGATAATTTTTTGATTTATTGTAGAGACGAGATCTCACCAAGTTGCCTAGGCTGGTATCGAACCCCTGGTCTCAGGCAATCCTCTCTCCTCCGCCTCCCAAAGTGCTGGGATTACAAGCTTGAGCCATTGTGCCCGGCCTTGAATCACTTTTTTTTTTTTTGAGTTCAAGTCTCACTGTTGCCCAGACTGGAGTGCAGTGGTATGCTCACGGCCACCCCAGTGTCTATCTGCTGGGTTCAGGCGATCCTTCCACCTCGCCTTTCAAGTAGCCAGAACTACAGGCACACAATACCACGCCTGGCTAATTTTTTTTTTTTTTATTGTAGAGATGAGGTCTCGCCAAGGTGCCCAGGCTGTTCTTGAACCCGTGGGCTCAGGCAGTCTGCTCACCTCGTCTCCCAAAGTGCTGGGACTACAGGGTTGAGCCACCACGCCTGGCCTGAATCACTTTTATATTTATCTATATCAAAATCAGCTTACATCACAAGATGCCAGAAAGTGTATTACAAATAAGTAACTATGTCAGGCAAATAGTGACAGCAGGCTACTTAAACAAGCGGGACTGTATGAATTCCTGCTTTTTGCTTTTGACATTCATGAATTGGCCCTAAAACTTAGAGAAAGTTGTCTACTCTCTGTATTTATCCTTTTCAGCATCTTCATTGGCAAGTAGTTGAAGTAATAATAGCTGATTAAGTACAAAGCTGAAGGGAACATGTCTGAAAAGAGGTTGGCTTTGAGCCTTTGTAATTGATCTCCATAATAGTTTTACAGGTCTTTCATGTGCTTCTTTTCAGGCACTGGCTTGCCCGAGAATACGTATGGTTTTTGATTCCATACATGATCTATGACTCTTATGCCATGTACCTGTGTGAATGGTACCGCACCAGAGACCAGAACCCTGGACGCTCTGTGACTTTGCGAAGCTTCCTAAGTCAAAACCGCCTCATGATCACACATCATGTGGTCATTCTAGTCGTCCTTGTACCAGTCGCACAGGTATGACCTTCCAGGACAGTAGACCGGTAGCCTTGGTCACTCATTTTCTCTGTTAGAACTGGGTGTCTTGCCCATTACTTAGGAGTCAGGATTTCCCCTTCTTTCTTTCCCTTTTACAGGGCACCCATTCTTCTTGTGCCAGCTGCTTGAGCAGTTAAATCCCCCTGTGCAAATCGTGGAGGAAAAGAGTTAAATCTGAAATGATCGCGATCCTCCTTACCAACATTATTCTTTTTAGCAATCCCCTACTCCTCTGTGGCTCCTTGGCGTTTGTCAAAGCTTCTGTCTTTAGTTCAATACATTATAAAAACAATATGAAATACAAACTAAGTGTGGAACAACATAACAGCTCTCTAACAGTGCCAGGATGTACTGTATGCATTCTGCTGATCTCACAAAAACACCATCTCTCAAAGCAAATAGCCTCATGATTTCTCCCCAGATCCATCTCCCCATAAAAACCCACCCAACAAGGAAGAGAAATGGGAATGGAGAGGGGAAACTCCTCATCTGGAGTAACTACCAAGTGGCAGGCACTTAGTTTAAGAGCTCATAGCTCGCTAAATATTAGTCAAATTAGCCTTATACTATAGATGAAGAAACTGCAGCTCTAAGAGTTTAGTTTACTCATCTCAATCAGTGGTAGTAAGCAACAGACTGGAGTGCAGTGGCCGCTCCCAGCCACCGCAGCTTTGACCTGCTGGGCTCTGGCGATCCTTCCGCCTCAGCCTTTCGAGTAGTCGGAACTACAGGCATGCGCTACCACACCTGGCTGATTTTTTGATTTATTGTAGAGATGAGGTCTTGCTGCCCAGGCGGGTCTTGAACCCACGGGCTCAGGCAACCCACTCACCTCAGCCTCCCAAAGGCGCAGGATTACAGGCTGAGCCACCGAGCCTGGCTGCATTAAATTCTTTAAGATGTTCTCTTGATTGCTTTGGGACCCTAACCTCTAGCACAGGCCTGACACATATTTTGTTGAACGGAACAGGCTAAGTGCCCTTGGCATTATTAAGTCAGATACACAAAAGTAGGCTACAGAGTTCCTTCCGGCTGTCATTAAAATTCAGAGAAAGCTTGGTGTGTGATGCATTCAGCCTATCTGAGTTTGTCTCTGGATCCTAGGGACTGAACCATTAAGTGCTATTGCTATGGAAGCAGCAGAATATTCACTGGGTCTGCACTTCCCTGTTTAGCATTTCCCTTTCCCTTCATGGTCTCTCATGGTTACCCCTGTCAATAGCCCTGTTAGAATTTTCCTTCTAGTGGTTTCTTAACCTCTACTCCGTATTTCTCTTTTTCCCCTTTTCATCTCCAGAAGTTCCGGGGAGACCTTGGGGACTTCTTTGTCGGTTGCATCTTCACAGCAGAACTGAGCACTCCGTTTGTGTCGCTGGGCAGAATTCTGATTCAGGCATGTGTGAATGAAATGGCAGAAATAGCGCGGGAGGGAATGGACTCTGCTTTTCCTTTGGAGATTGTGGAATTTGGAGAAATTCCTTAATGCTGGGAATAGTGGGATAGGAGACCCACCAGCAGACTTAAAGGCCAGTTGGTCATCTGAACCAGTGGGGATGAAACTGGAGGTTTCACTTAGTTTGATAGTTCCTTGTACTTTTTCCCTTGCCACATCTTTTTCTCTAATCTATTGTTTTTGTACTTCTGACAGCTGGGTGTGGCTTAGGCAGAATTCACCATCACTATTGGAAGAACTGTGAGGCTATATGCATATATAAATATGACAGTGCTCAGTAACCTCTTCTACAAGTGTCAGGAAACTAGACAGATGTCTGGGTGTCAAGGAATTTGACAGCCTAGGTCTTGACTAGTCCGTGTACCTGTTTGACCTTTATCGTTGTGGGATGTGGGCTGGTCATTCATTCCCTGATGACCGCCTCTTGGTGACCTTGTGTTCTCCCTCATTCTTTTGCAGCAAAAGCAGCAGCACACCCTTCTGTACAAAGTGAATGGAATCCTTACACTGGCCACCTTCTTCTCCTGTCGGATCCTCCTTTTCCCCTTCATGTACTGGTCGTATGGCCAGCAGCAGGGACTGAGCCTGTTCCAGGTGCCATCCAATATCCCTTTCTTCTGCAATGTGGCCAATGCCTTCCTCATCGCCCCTCAGATCTACTGGTTTGCTCTACTGTGCAGGAAGGCAGCCCGGCTCTTTGGCAGTCCCCAAGCCAAAAAGGATGGCTAAATGCTCCCAAGAGTCAGGCCGTGAGAGGGCCTCCTCATGTGAGCTGCCTCTACTCAGTATTCCACGGACCAAATTGTGCCCTGGGTGGCCTCAGCTTTTTGGGTATTGATAAGCAGATGGATTTGAGGGTTTGTTTGTTTTTTTTTTAAAGAATATTCATATTACCTCCCTCTTCTACCCTTTTTGCAAAAAGCACTTTTTTCTTAGTTAACAACTATCGGATCCTGTCAGCCCTCCACTGGCAACAGGGTGGTTTTCATGCAAGATCAAGGATCCTTCCCTAGGTCTTATATCAAGAGCTCTGGGAGGTAGAAGCATGGGGTGTGGAGATCTGTGGACCAGGGTGATAAATGTCTGGGCACCTACCGGACCCTAATATTGGCGGCTACCCACCCTTCCAACCACTCAGGACAGTACAGTACTGGGCCCCAGAAGCAAGTGATGATTTGGTTCTTGGAATAATGTCTTCTTGTGACATTGGCCTGGGAAAATCATTGTGGGCAGGTAGTTTTTTATTGTTTACTAGATAACGCTTTGGTTCTTTGCCTCAGCCTCTCATCCATGTGTCAACATTGAATTCTCATGTCTACTGACTTCCAGTCAGCAGTCCTACTGATGGGGTAGAAGGCAGGGATAGGAACCGGAAGACTTGAGCAGGCAGGAGGGCTAAGAGAGGTCAGCACAATCTTTGCAGGCTGACTTGGTAAAAAGCCCAGTGTCAAACTTGTGAGCTTGTTGCCAGCACTCACAGTTAGTCCCTGTTTAGTATGTCTCCTGCCCAGCTTTTCCCATATCCACTCATAGGATGCTCTCATAAAAATGACAGGGGCAAAGTGAAACGATGGCTCTGGTAGCTGTTTACTGGGTAACCTAACAAGTCCTTTTCATGTGGAAACTGACTTTTCTACTACAAAACCGTGAGATGTCTCATCTAGAGTACTTTTCCCAGAACCTCCTGAAAACCAGAGCTTGTGGTCCAAAGGCCCTTTCCTGTGTGTGTCCTACTATGTAGAAGGTTGTAGAGCAAGAGGGCAGCCAGCCTGGCCAGAGTATGTCCTGTGGACTGATGCCTTCACCCCCACTTGCAAATAGGTTCCTCTGATGCCAACACTACATCATTCCTTATCAACTAGGATGGGTTTGAGAAACTGTGCTATGTTTTTCAGTGGTAGAAAAAACTAGGGTCTTAAAGTGCCTTTTAATCTTTGTCCATGAACTTTTGAAGGACTGATTTGTAATAGTCTCAAATTTTGACTGTTTCATTCTTTAATGGGTGCCATTTACAAAACAAAATACTGTAATTTTTGTACTGTCTTTTTTTTTTTTTTTTTAACTATCTTTATAAGTTTGTAAGTCACCTCATGGTGATTAAACTGCACTAATATTCCCAACTTATTCTCATTTATGGAAAACATCAATACCAATTTCCTGTGGGACCCATTCTGTGACCCAACTTGAATGGGTGCTGTGTGCTGCAGTTTCTGGTGTGTTTGTCCATGTAAGTGACAGGGGTGTGTGTGTGTGTTAATGTTTTCAGCCTCCCGGAGGGCCTAGCTCATACCTTAGTGTTTCTGTGGTTCACGGTCTGAAGAATATATTGAAGACTCTGAGTCCACACATAACTTTAGGCCAGGATTCTCTTCATAAGTGAATCCTGTTAGGAGTTGGGAGTGCAGAAGCCTGATTGCTGGTCATGGAGCCAAGCCTACTTGAGGTGGAGGAGGGAACCCGAGTAATGCCCTATTTTGAAAGAGGGTGTAGATAGAGGTAATGATGGCACATATCCCTTTCTCTCCCTTGTCTCCCGCGATAGACATCTCCCCAACCAGTTCTCATAGTTCTGCAATACCCTGGACACCTTACTTCTTGCTTTTATTTTCCTGCACACAGCAGTCCCTGCTCCCACCCACTCATCCAAACCATGACAGTGCCACAGAATTAGCCCCTCCTGGACCCACTGAACAGTAGATGCACCCAGCTCCTATAGTCTCAACTATAGGAGCTGGGTGCATCTACTGTCCGAGCTACGTGGGAGGCTGTGGTGGCAGATCGCTTGAGCCCAAGAGCTCAAGGCCAGCCTGGGCAACAAAGACTGTAGGGCATGCTTCTGTTTTCCTGAGGTCATTAATCTCCCGCCTTAACACTTAGTTTACCTTCGTCTAAGCCTCTCGCTTTACAGTTGTGCAGGCCTGGGGCACACAAATCACATGGCTAGCACAGACCTCTTTTCCAGGTCGCTGCCCTTTCTGATACCTCATGAAAAATATTTAAATGTTGAAGTGACTCCTGAAGAGGGTCTTGATGTAAAATAACCCACATACCTTGTCATGTTTTTTCTACTGAGGGGGGGTTTTACTTGTGTTTGGGCTTATTTGCCAAAATCTGGGCAGGGGGCGGGGAGTCTAGGTATGAACATGTTCCTCCCAGCAGGATTTGACCCTGAAGACTCTAAACCCAATTTCAGACCACATTTAACCACTGGCTACCGAGAAAAAGTCAAGAGACAAGGTGAAGAGAGAATTGTATTACAGTTTGTATGTTACAAATACCTAAGAAACTATTTTCTTTACATCATTATTGCCATAGATGTTTTATCTTTGTACAGTTTCACATAACTGTAATGTGTGCTTTTCAGCTCGAGCCCTTACAGACCCACCATGTGGAGGCCCAGTTTTCTGACCTGCAAAGGTCAGAAACTGCTGGTAAGTTCAGAAGTTGCTGATCTTTTGCAGCAGGGTTTGACGCCGCTCCTCAGGGCTAATGTTCTCAGCAATGGACTTTAAGAAACGCTGCTCATTTACCTTCTGGAGCAAAGAGTTAATAGAAGGGTTGGCCTTGCTCAGGGTTTCATAGCAGGTGAGGATTTCCAAGGCCAGAACGTAGAGTGGTTCACAGACCTCTTGGTGGAGCATGGCCATAACGTGCAGTGCATGACAGAACACCTGGGTGTAAACAAACAGGGTTTCTTGGGTCAGGTCCTGTTCTTGTCCTTGGGCCCAAGGGCCAACTGACTGTATCAACCTAACTGAGTCCAGAAGGTTGGTCAGACTGTTACAGAGGAGTCTGACCACGTGGTTCCAGCCTTCCACAGGAAGCCAATTATGACAACTCTGGCTGCAGAGAAACTGAAAAACTCTCAGGAAGAGTATGGAGAGTTGGAGCTCCCGGGCAAAGGGCTTCAGGTTGAGCAGGGGAACAAACTGAATGTACTCCAGGCTGTAAGGGACATGTAGGAGCTGTCTCTCCAACAGGCTCCTGGTCAGCTGGTGAAGGTACTGCCACTCCTGGGGGCTGCACCAGGGCATGACCTGTACCAGGGCTACCAGAAAGCCCTTACTGAACAATCTGACCTCCTCAGGATTGCCCACATCTACCACCAAGAGAGATAGCATCTGCTCGGAGATGCTGCTGGAGATGCAGCAGCACTCCATCCAGGCCAGAAGCCCTGTGCCTGGCCCGTACCCTGGGTGCACCTGGGAGGTCCACTCGTCGTCAGAAAGCTTACAGATCTCAAAAAGTGTGGCTGGCACCTCGCACTTAAAGTGGCCCTCAAAGAAGCTCTTCAGTCTCAGCCCCACAGTCCAGTCTAGCTGTTCCAACTTCCGGTGGAGCCAGGACAGGGACTTGATCCAGGTATCTGGGGAGAAGGTCTCAGCGTTGGCTAACACGATCTCACAAAGGAGCTCCAGGATGTGGATCACCAGATCCTTCCGATCCAAAGAGAGGCACCGCTTCTCTCGGGGGAGCTGCCAGTACTTGCTGAAGCCATTCAGGAGTTGGCACAGGCTGAAGATGAGGGGGAATGGGGAGCAGGTCTGGAGCCAGTATTCCTCTAAGCATGCACTTGCTTCTAGGGTCTGGATGAAGATCTTCAGGCTGAGGTCTACCTCTTCAACATCTAGCATCAAGAATGGCAGGACAAACTCCTTCAGCACCTCATCTGGCTCAAGGAGAGCAGCGACTGGGATCCCTTGGGGCTTCACAGGATTCAACAGGCAGCTCAGGAGTTCGAGAAACTGCCTTTCTTCCTTGGGTGTAGAGAATTTTGTCCAGATGGCTTCTTTGAGGCATGACACCATGAAGGTGGTGGATGAACTTGACTCTTGCTCTCCCACAAACCTAAGGGCAGGGAAGGCAGTGAGAATCTGAGCCAGGAACTTGTGAGTGCCAAGATTGAGCACAGCCATGCTGCACATTTTCTTCACTGTGATCTCTGGGTGTACTATCACCAGGCGGGCGACAGAAGCTACCGCTTTAGCCAAGCCCTGTTCAGAGGCACTCTGTGTAAGCTGGTTAAAAGTGGTGTTGAGGTCTTCCTGAAAACCCTCCAAGTACGCCAGCAGCTTTCCAGAGAGGCCCTTCTGCCCCCAGGAATGCAGGACACCTGAGAGGACTTTATTTTTATCTGGCAGTGAAAGGTCTGCATAACATTCCAGAATCAAGCCAATCACTTGTTTCACCTGCAACTCAGGGATGGCTCTGTCAGCTGTGCTGACTTCTATCACCGTTTCCAGCAGCTTTAACACCAAGTCTGGTTCTTGGAAGAGAGCCCTGTTATTCACCAGGCAGGCTACCCACTCATCCGAGAAGGCCCACTTCTTTTCAGAAGCAAAAATGTAGCACATTTCCATATGCCGATCCATCTTTTGCTCAATAATGGCCATGGCAATCGAGGCCGTGATGTCCTCAAAGCTCTTGTTCTTCAGCACTCGGCTCGTCTTCCTCAGGAAGTCCTTGACGTTCTCTGCCAGCTCAGTGACCCCTTGCCTCTCCTCCTTGGACAAGCTGGTGGTATCCAGGTAGAGCTTCAAGTTCTGGCTGAAGGAAGTCAGGCTGTCACATAGCCGGTAGCTGTCGTAACTGGTCCCCCGGCTGCTGTTGAGCATGGCCTGCAGCTCCTCCCCCCACTCCCGCAGCAAGCTGCGCATGAATTCAAAGCCCAGGGAAACGGTCTCGCTTGGGAGCTTGGCCAGTGAGGTGAGGCTGACATCCCGCTCTGCCTCCTTTACTTTCTCTGCCAGCGCCTGTTGGTGGTATGGGTTCTGAGTGTCCGAATTCCACACAGAGATCACTGTGGCCAGTTTGTCCAGGTATACAGTGGCAGACACTTCCTGGGGGTCGTCCTCCATCAGTGCAAACACGGTTAGCATGTCAGCCAGGTTGGCTAATGCACAGCACTTCATTCCGAGGCACTGGATGCTGTTCTGGATTTGCTTCAGCCCATGAAGCAGCATTGCCAACAGAGGCATGGTAGGACACACATCTGGGTCAGACTTGAACCTCTTTGGAGGATGGGAGAACTCATCTGAAGAGGGCAAGTACTTATGGGCCATCATTCTAAACTGGGCAAGCAGGGGGTCCTGTTGATTGCCCTTGTGTTTCATCATCTCCCACCAGACATCGAGGAAGAAGGCCACATCTTTGGATGAAGTGTCAGTAGTCATGTGCTCCAAAAAGCGCTCTAGTTCTGTGCGGCAGACCGTGGTAGGCAGGGCCATCAGGAGCTGGATAAAGAGTCCAGAAGCTTCCAGGGATTTGAGCAGCTCAAAAAGAACTGTGTGATTGATAGTAGGGATCATGTTGCCCACTGAGAAGAACACATCTTCCTGCCACCGAGTTTCAGTGTCAGAAGGGCTAACAGGGCAGGGCTGAAGAACCTTGGCCCAGATGATGATCAGAGCTTTCTTCTTCCAGGCAAAGGGCTGGGAATGTGCAGTGGCTGAGGAGATCTCCCTCAAGGCCTCCACAATGGGCCTCCCAACATGTTCCCAGTCAGACTTTGCCAAGTCTGCCAATACTTTGGGGTGGAACAGCTGCTCGGCCAGCAAGAAGCCCCCATGCAGGATAGTTATTTCTTCACAGATGTTCAAGGCCCCTGCACAGAGAGATACCAAGTAAGACAGAGTAAAAACTTTTCAAAATAGTAAGCAGAGGTTGGAGGGAGACAGCTATTAGCAGCCCAGCTATCATCATCGAGGTTAGAAATAATAAGGGTTTTAAATGACATCAGTAGGAGAGGGAGAAGATGGCGTGGTTATAAGAGCCACTGCAGAGCTGGATTCAAAAGGACTCAGTTGAGGAATAAAAAATGTCCCCCAAGCTTTGTAGTCTGGGAACTGGGAGGACAATGGGTACCATTACAAACGGAACAGATGAGAACCAGAACAAGTCTGAGAGAAGCCAAGTTCAGTTTTGGTTGTTTGGAGTCTGAGGTAGAACATGAAGCTAGAGCTGTCCTCCAGGAATGGAAATGCAGAGTTGAAGCTCAGGAGGAAAATCAACCTAGAAATGTGATTCCAAGAGGTATCTGCCAAGCAGATCACTGGAACCAAGGAAGTGGATGAGACCCTTCAGGAAGTGTGTGAAGAGAGAAAGCTGGACTGCTGAGGCTAGACACCCCCAGCAAGGGACTGGCCAGCAGAGGATTAGGGGGAAAGGTTTAGAAAGACACAGCATAAGACACTCCCAAACTATAGGGGCCACCAAGTGTGTCCTGTAGGACATGATAACTGAGCTTTTCATGATACAGACCACGGGGGGCACAACTGCAAGGTAAAGGGCAAAGAAGCAAGCAGACAAGCCCTGCCTTCCCCCTTCTGTAGCCTTGCCTTGCAGGCAGGTTTCAAATATTCCTCTACCACCCCAGTGCTGCTCCAGTCAAGATGGACAAGCTACTCACGGCCATAGTTCTATGGGAGAAACCAGAGGGTAGAAACAAAAAGTACTGCACTAGATTAAGAAAGAAAAGTCAGGCCGGGTGCAATTGCTCAAGCCTGTAATTCCAGCACTTTGGGAGGCCGAGGTGAGAGGATTGCCTGAGCCCACAGCCTAGGCAACTTGGAGAGCCCTCATCTCTACAATAAATCAATAAATGAGCTGGGTGTGGCAGTGTGTGCCTGTAGTTCTGGCTACTTGGAAGGCTGAGGCCAAAGGATCACCTGAGCCCAGCAGATGGGCGCTGGGGTGGCCGTGAGCATGCCACTGCACTCTAGCCTGGCGATGGAGTGAGACTCCAACCCTGAAAAAAAGAAAAGTCCTTCCTTTAGTGAGCTATGAATTGACACAGGCTTATAACAGAAGGCATCTTGGGATGTTTAATCAGACACAAGTTTAAATCCTAGCTCAGCCAATTAAAAGTGATGTAATTTTGGCCGGATGCAGTGGTACATGTAATACCAGCTACTTGAAAGGCGGAGGCGAGAGGATCGCTTGAGCCCAGGGGGTCGAGACTAACCTTGGCAATAGTGAGATCCCATGGGAAAAAAAGTGATATTAGGCCAATTACTTCTATGATCCTCCTGCTCATATATGTATGAGGAGGAGGGCAGTTCATGTGATTACTCAGAGGATCCAATGATACACACCTGGCACTGGATTGATGCTGTTACCTCCTGATCCTGTCTCCCAGAGATGCTACAAAGGCTAAGTAAGATAACAATAACAACCAGGCAAATTAAGTGCTCAATAAATATTGGCTTCCCCAGAACTTTCCTTTGTTGGCAGGACCATAATCCTGTCACTATCCTTTGCCTCTCCCAGCTCAGAAACATAAAAGACATAGGCCTTTATCAGGTATGTTTCCTTTGGCCCCAAAACTAAAATCAGATGACAAACACTGCTCACTATTCAACATTCCTGACTCCTCCCCTTTCCCAAGGCTTAAGATGCTACCCCTTCCTCAGTCTCTCATACCCCCAAGAGCACATATTCCCCATTTGCACAGGCAAGGATCAGCAGAGAAAACAATGGTTCCAGAAGACTAATATCCTGCCTCTCCCACCACTGATGGAAGCAGCAAAAGGCCAAGGGATCAGCACCCCTGGGCAATCCACTAGTGAAGGCAATCCACCTCGGCTCAGAGGGCGGCGTCAGACTCCCAGGGAGGGTTAGGTTGCTGAGGGGTCTCTGGCACAGGCTGCTCTCCTAGGGCCCCAAAATATGTTCCCTTCTGATGCTGTAAATTTAATTTTATTGCACTATCAGCTTAACTGAGCATGTGTTTGGCCCTCAACACCTGCCTTTCAGACCCAGTAAGTATGTACCTATGTTATGTGAAGTAGTAAGTCGCAGGAGCAGTTAACAGCTGGAAAAAACTCCAAGTGATCACTAATGGTTAACTAGCACTTGTGAGTGCCCACTTATGCTTGTTAAGTGTTTACTCCATGCCTGGCATTGTGCTAGGTGGAACACTTATGATCTCTTTTCGTCTCCAAAATAACCTTATGAGGACTACTATTCCTGTTTTAGAGATGGGAACATTGAGGCTCAGAGGCAGTTTGCTTAAGATGTCACAACCTCAAAGTAGTGGGGCTGGGACAGAAATTAGACGGCAGTAACCCTCCAAACCCTTGGAGCTCTGCCATTCCCCTCCGAAAGGAGGGGTTTGGGTTGGCACTGGACCACTGCTCCAACCTACTATTATTGCCACATCCTGAGGTGCCCCACCCCCAGCTCTCCCTAAACAGCCTCCTGGTCTTATGCCCTTAAGGACTTACCCAGCAGGGTGGAGAGACTTGGCAGGGAGCCATCGATTTCTATCGGCTCCCACTCCTCTCGTCCAGGCCTTGCCTCTGAGGATTCTGAATCAAGACGCACGCCCAGGTTCAAAAAGTGCCCTATCCGGTGCTGCAACCGCTCCCCACAACTGCCCGCGTGATAACGCTGCTTCGTTCAAGGCACTGTACTGGGCCCTGTATACACGTGATCTCAACGAAAACTCCCCCGACTCAGTGAGGAAGGCACAGTGTCATCATTCCCGCTCTATCAATGAGGAAATGATGAGGATCAGAAACGTGTTCAAGAAGTTAGGAGATGTTCAATAAGTGAGACGGTCGGGACATCTGCTACTCCCCCGCGCGTGCTCCGAGCCCGGCATTTCCCAAAACACGTGCACTAACCTCGACCGTTTCCAGGGCTCTAACTTCACAATCGGTTTTTTTGCCCCGTGGGAAGGGGTCACAGGAAGCAAGAGGCGGGCCAAAGAGCGGCGCGCGGCTGAGCTTGGTCCCCGGACCCCCCGTCTCCAAGGACCCCCCCGGTCCTCCAAACCCCTCCCGACCCGGAGGTTTTCCTTGGCCCGGGCCCCCGAGAGCGTGCGCGGCGAGACGGGGCGCGTT